ACAAAAAAAAACTGGAGTTGGCCGGTTCGGGACGTTTCGTTACTTTGGAGATTTTCTGGAAATTCGATCATGACGTACTATTCCCCCAGACGCGTTCCCAACCTTTCCGAAAACGTTGGTATATAAAGTCTCCCGGCTGCGAGTTCCCCCTTACCCTAATATCACCAACAATTTCTCTTCTCTCACCGTCACCATGGATCCATCGATAATACACACAAAGGGGAAGCTCGAAGACGAGCCGGATACCCTTCATCTCGAGAAAGGCGAACTTGTGGACGATGTGACCCACGATCCCGTCTTTGGAGAAATCACGGAAGAAGGGCCGAACTATCGGAATGTGCGTACATTCTTGCCGATAGCAGATGCTCTCACCCCCCGGCATGCAGGGCTAACGACAGGCTAGGTCGGCTTTCTGGGGACCGTCGTGCTCATGATGAAGACGCAGATCGGGCTGGGTGTTCTTTCCATACCGACAGCCTTCGATGTCCTCGGCATGGTCCCCGGCGTGATCGTTCTAATCGCGATTGCCGTGATCACGACGTGGTCCGACTATATGGTCGGTTCCTTCAAGTTGCGTCATCGCGAAGTTTATGGTATTGATGATGCTGGGGCGTGATGTTTGGTACCCCGGGGCGCGTCGTTCTGGCAGCCGCATTTTGCCTCTGTAAGTCACTCCGAATCAACATGTGGCCAACCACATGCCTGACTGACAGGACGGTAGACTGGATCTTCGTTGCGGGCTCTGGTATTCTCGGAATTTCGATTGGCCTGAATGCAGTCTCCACCCACGGTGCCTGCACCGCGATCTTTGTGGCGGTTGCCGCGATCTTGGGCTTTGCCTGTAGTAGCATCCGAACCCTTGGGAAGATCACTTGGCTTGCATGGATTGGACTGCCATGTATTTTGGTTGCCAGTAAGTTACCATGGTCAATGGCCATCGTCGATGTGTGAAATCATCCAGGCGATGTCTAACACGTTTTGTAGTCCTCATTGTCACCATCGCCGTTGGCGTCCAAGACCGTCCGCCCACCGCACCACTCACAGATGAACCGTGGGTCTCGGATTTCAAAATCATCGGCCATCCGACCTTTGCTCAGGGGATCACCGCAGTGAGCTCACTCGTCTTCGCCTTCTCCGGTACCCCGGGCTTTTTCTCAATTGTATCTGAAATGCGGGATCCACGCAAGTTCACCCCAGCATTGCTCATCTGTCAAGCTGTCGTGACTGCGGTCTATATCACCATTGGCTGTGTAGTGTACTACTATTGTGGGTCCTATGTCGCCTCGCCAGCCCTCGGCTCTGCTGGCGGTATGATCAAGAAGATCGCCTATGGAATTTCCTTGCCAGGCTTGATCGTTACGACGACGATTGTTTCTCATGTAAGGCAGATCCCGCTGGACCAGCCGTGACACCAGAGCTAATCATTGACCTCCTCAAACAGATCCCAGCGAAATATATCTTCGTCCATCTGCTCCGCGGCTCCAAACACCTCATCAGCAATACCGTCACGCACTGGGCTGTTTGGCTCGCCTGCACCCTTAGTATCACTGTCATTGCCTATATCATTGCCAGTGCAATCCCGGTGTTTGACGGTCTTGTGTCTCTCATCGGCGCCCTACTGGGCACGATGATGTGCTTCCAGCCCATGGGTTGCATGTGGCTCTATGATAACTGGCACAAGCGCAAGGAGGGCCCCGTCTCGAAACAATGGTGGTTCATGGTGTGCTTCAGTGTCTTTGTAGTCGTTTCAGGAACCTTCCTGACCGTGGCAGGAACCTACGGTTCCGTGGTTGGGATTATGGACTCATACAAGACCGAAGGCGGCTCTGCAGCTTTCACCTGCGCAGACAATTCGGGGTCCGTATGAAATGTATATACAACAACGGGATTTATGAATGATTGACTAAACGATAAAATATGAAAATTCAATATAAAAACACTAAGAACGTTTCTATCGTGCTCATTGTAGCGGGGATGCAGTTTCAAGTACATCACAGTTTGCGAAAGGAAGGATCGTCTCCAATGGTGTCGGGTGGATGTGAAGGGTAGAATCCTATTAGATGAAGGACACACTTCTAGACCACGGAGAGAGCGATAAAGGCAATAATATTGTAGTACGGCGTCGGACGGTCTATTTCTTATGGTCGTCGCTCACCAATCGTGCAGTGCGTCTTGAAATATACACGAGCCAAACTGACGGCGCTGTGTCATGGATATATATCACATATAAAACAGGACGTAATAAAGCGTAAGTTGTATCCTCCAGCCCTTCCGTTCGCATGGTATTATTGGGGCATGACCTTTAGCATTCAATGACCTTCAATCATGGCTTTGTAACAGTTTGGTTATTGATGGTGTGCTTGGTGTGTCTCACCGCGATCTGGACACCAGACCCAATGAAAAGAGGGTAAGAGTCAGAATCTAAAACCAGGAAGTTTCTTGGCGTGGATCAGCGGTTCTTTATATGTAATTCGAGACTCAGCCCACGAGTATGAAATAGGTTTACCGACCACATACTACTGATCTAAAGGCTAATTCGATCAAGCCAGTGAAATCAAGGTATTCAAGCGAACTGGGTATAATCTGAAGAAACCTAACGATCAAGCACAATCCATGAATCGAGTGCCTGAGGTAAAACAGCCCCCAATCTCGATACACCGGACTCATGTGCTTGTGCATTTACGACGGGCCTAGCAGATATAGTGTGGTGGATACAGGCCAATTAGCCATATTATTGGGCATGATAGGACTATTTAAGATAGTCTGCTGAACCTGGATTGGTGGTTCAAGCCTTAATTAGACGATAGTGGCCCTCCTTTACTCCAAACGTCCATAAGAGAGCCGATCCCAAAGCTTACCGGCGGTCATCACAACGCCGGTGTTTTTAGACTGCATAAGTGTGATTGTGACGGTTTGGCGGGCTTCATCACTGGTCGCAGGTCAGCGCAGCGTCATCTGTCGGAGTGAAATGGATATTATGGAGACATAACCGATTAAATTGATGACCATGTCCTCCCCAGCTGACGCGAAATGATTATGGTCAAAGTTCTTCTTGCGCCCACTCCGTCGCAATGGTCCGTTGATCCACCTTCGGTGCCGGAATGACCAAGGTACCTCAGAGAGCTAACCATGGACAGCACACTATAGGAGCGGATTCCAGTAGAAGAGGATCCAAACTCTGCACCACAGGTTATTTTCTCCCCCGATAACCGGGATGTCAAATCCGCGTCGCACGTTGTCTCGATCCCCGATCCAACACCTTATGTCTTCGTGCCGGATCCAAACGAAAAGTACTTGGATTCCACCGCGCAAAGCTATGGCATAGATCCTTCCATACCAAAGAATGCGCCAATAGCGCCACTCGCGAACAATCAGGCGCCAAACAAGAAGAAATGGATCTGGATAGTCGTCGCGGCAGTAGCGTTCGTGGTTATTGTGATCGCGGCGGTTGTGGGAGGAGTTGTTGGCAGTCGCAATGCTCACAAGGACAGCGTTTCAAGGTGCTTTCTGCCTCCCATGTTCATATTCACGCCAAAGCACATGGTTAACTCTCCCGCATTAGTGATACGACTGCGACTGCCATATCGTCATCATCCGTTCAAAACACGACCCGCAGCTCATCCACAACTTCCACGTCGACATCTACGAGTACCACACTCACCAACACCACATCCACCAGTACCACCGCGAGTCCTACTGAGACAAACTTTGGGGCGACCATCCACATGTTCGCGAACGATACCTGTGGTGGAACGGACGATTCCTTCTCCGTCCTGAACTCCAACTCGCAGAAGTGCGTCGTTGTTCCGTCGAATAAACGCTCGATTCAAGTGAGCCAGAACGAGTATGTCTCGGAATTCACTAGCCCTAAGGTTCAAGAGCTAACAATATCCCAGTGGCTGCAACGTGGTCACCTGGAGTGGCAGCAACTGTGCCGGCAGTTCGTACATAGTGCCAGACACGGACTGCCATGCGGTTCTGTATGCGGCCGTGTCTGTGGATTGTTAACATAGTAGAATACGCCCATATCAGTATGGAGTATTGTAGCATAGAGCCAGTCGAGAGGGGTGAGGATATATCAATAATGACAAGACTAAATCCACGATTCGCATGACAAGTTTCGCACTTCCCGCGCACGTATTTTGGAAGCAAAGACACCAGTGTGGGTGCTAGATAGAGTTACCATGGCTCCACTAGCATCAATCCTTTTTCGTTAGTGATACAGCTGGAACTGATTAATAAGTGGGCTGATGTGCTATGTGTGCTGCTATTCTGGTATTTCTACGACTAGACCTCGTCCACGATCAAAGTATGAAAAAGACGACAAGCAATGCCACTTGAACTAAGCAGTAGCGGAGCTATTAGGGTATATCAGAGTTGATGGTAGAGCCCCCCGAATCATATTTTATAGTACAGATTCAATATAAAACAATGATGGGATATGAAACTTAAGCCGATATAAATACCTTCTTCTCCATACCCGTCTCCGAGATTGACATGGTATATGTCTTCTGCCAGTATTTACTATGCCTAAACTGAGTAGTGAAAATGCCAGCCTGGACTATGTCCTTTCTAGTTTATGAAGCTCTGTACTCAGACACGTCTATAATCCGTTCGACCATGTCGGAGTCTCCCTAGACACGCTTCCTATCTTCATTATTGACGAACCCGAAGGCACGTTTCAGAGGGAAGAGCTCGTTGACCTCCCTCGCCAAACCATCCATACATTCAGCTACATTCTGTAGCAGACGTAGATCTTCATCAGCTGTCGATGCCATGGGATCACGAACCAGACCACTTGCTAAATGCGCATGAGCGATATATGCTCGGTAGCCGCCAAGAATGAGGGACATGGCTTCTGGTCGAGGTAACCTCAAAGTGTGGATCATGTAAGTTCGTCAACGCGGTTTGTATCGATGTTACTCTCTATTTCATGTGCACCATGTGCGATAGTCAGCCTCCGTCTCGGGTTATATGGCGACTTTATCATTCCCCAAGCCCTTTTGAATGACTGGATTGGCCAGCTGCGGTGGATAAATCCTTTATTTTAAGTCTAGGAGAGTCTTTCCCTTAGTGAGTTTGTTGGGCGTAAGATAGGGCCCGACTAATACATATTATATCTAGAATTGAAGTAGCCCCTAGATAAAGGCAAGAGTATTGAATGATAAGAGATGTGTGAGTAGAGATAATAGACTAGAATTATTAATACTGTGACAGTTATCTACAATTTTATATCGAGTATTTTTTCGATTGTGATTGGCGCCGCAGTTTTCTCTCTTGAATGCCCGAATGCGGTAAATTCGCAACTTCTCGTCAACCTCCACATGAAATCGACGAGTTTCCGGTCCGTTCGGTCTTACAACCTTTCTCGCTCCCGAAATCTCTTCCTATTACCCCCATATGGAAAGTCCCCGTATACACCCATATCAGGTGTCGTGTATCCACTATTCCAATGCTTTCACTTGTTCCGTCTGGGGGCTATATCTAAAGGGCCGCTCCCCCATGCCCACTTCACACCTTGGGAACATAGTACTTCGTCTTCTGGGAGCTGACACGACCAACACCATTTGAGTCAGTAATTCAGATAACATCAAATACAATGACTTCGCGGGACGGTTATCACTGGACTGCGACGACAGGTCTACGCCAAGGTGTGCCATCGATTAGTGTTATCTCGCCACCTACGAACGTTCTGTCAACAACAGAGGACTGGGACGTAGTTGTTGTCGGGGCCGGATATTCGGGCCTCACGGCATCGCGAGATGCTTGTCTCGCGGGTACATTAGCCCTTTTGTCAGTTGGAGACGGACAGGTACGCTGACCTTGACCATAACCACAGGACTTAAGGTACTTCTGATAGAGGCGCGCGATCGTATTGGCGGTCGCTCCTGGTCGTCCAACATCGACGGGTATCCCTTTGAAATGGGAGGAACTTGGCTAAGCTGGGGCCAACCTCATATTTGGCGAGAAGTTTCCCGGTATCAAATGAGAAGCGAGCTGGAACCATCCTTTGATTTCTCTCGGGGAGTGAATCATTTTGAACTGCGCACTAGCACCCAAGGCTCATCAATCTTTAGCCATTTAGAAGAGGTGTGTGCATCCCAGAATGAGAACCATTCCCCATTAAGACCCTTCGTTGACCGTCAACAGGATGCCCTTCTCGCCGGTGCACTGCAGAAATTCGTCGATGTAGACGGTGCGATGGGCCGGGAGATCATTCCCTACCCGCACGACGCCTTCCACAACCCGGCGGCCCGGCAATACGATAACATGTCGGCTTTGGATCGTCTCAATGGACTGGCTCAGTCACTTACGCCACATGAGCGCGCAGTATTAGAGAGCTTCATTCTGCTCTGCAGCTGTGGGACTCTGGAAACTACAAGCTTCTTTGAATTCCTTCATTGGTGGGCTTTATGCGACTACTCCTACAAGGGGTGTTTGCAGCATCTAATTTCATACAAGTTCAAGGGTGGGCAATCCAGCTTCGCTATCAAGTTCTTTCGTGAGGCAATGGCGACTGGCCGGCTATCATATGCCTTCAACAGCCCAGTTCAGTCGATCGATGACCATGGCAACAGGGTTGTGTTGAAAGCTCGCGATGGTCGCCAGTATAGTGGCGCCCGTCTGATCTCTACCATTCCGTTGAACGTCCTAAGCTCCGTCATGTTTTCGCCTCCACTGAGTCCAGAACGCACAGCAGCCGCCAATATCGGACATGTGAACCAATGTGTCAAGGTCCATGCAGAGGTTGCGAGTCCGGACATGCGGTCCTGGTCGGGAATTTCGTACCCTTTTAACAAGCTTGCCTACGCCATAGGCGATGGTACTACGCCCGCGGGAAACACACACATTGTGTGCTTCGGCGGTGCACATAACCACATTCAGCCCGAAGAAGATATTGATGAGACCAAAAGGGCCGTGGAAAATATGTCCCCTGGGAACATGGATATTAAGCGATTGGTGAGTTTCACACGTGGCATATGTTGGAAAGAAATTGCTAACTTCCAACCCTGTAGGTCTTTCACAACTGGTGCAAGGATGAATTTGCCAAGGGCGCATGGTTCTTCGCGCCTCCTCAGCTTCTGTCCAAATCCTTGGACGCACTCAGGCGTCGGCATGGAAACGTGCTCTTTGCGAACTCTGACTGGGCGGTTGGCTGGCGCAGCTTCATTGACGGCGCTATTGAGGAGGGCACCCGGGCGGCGATGACTGTGACAGAGGAGTTGCGCCAGCTCCATGCCGTTCGTTCTCATTTGTAGATGTCCCCGCCTGCTATGTAGTATGATTGGTTAAAACAATATTATAATATCTGTCAATGAGGCCCCCTTGCGTATCACTCGTGGAGTTGAAATGTGGCGTGTTGTACGCAATGCAGTATTATCTACCTGGTTCTCCTAGGTGGCGACGACTCGTAGCTCAAAAGATGATACCTTGTATTATGGTTCCTCAGATATCATTGGACTTACAGGGTCCTTCACGTACCAGTCTTTGCCTTTTCCAAGTTGCGTAAAGGAGGCTTACGGACGCGAATTCATTCCGTGACTTCCATCCTTTGGCTAGGGCTATTCTCTTCTTTTTTACCCAATTTGGTAATCTGTGGAAACTTAATGCGAACCCCGCAAAAGCCACGAACCGCTCGTGAGGGTCACTCTTCGTTGATACCTTGATATATAAACTCTCTGTTGAGCACTCATGGGACTTAAACAATGGCTATGCTTTGTTGGTACTCGTATCCTAATCTCTTGTCTACCAGCAACTCTCGGGCCTCTCTTCTATAGTACACGATGGACTCGTCCGAAACGAATCCCAAGCACGGTATGGACTGGGCCATCCCTGGGATAGCAAGATGCACGTCACTAATTTAGCTTCATTGACTCAGCACAATGTCTCGATGCCGAAAGACGTGAGTGTCTGCTAGGTTATCCACATCCACGTAAATCACTCTGACTCATTTTTGTCCTACACAGAATCCATCCAACACGGTGACCTAACCTGCCTGGATGGACTCAACTTTCAGCTAGAGGGCACACGCAAGCTGACCCCCTTACAAACGATATCCGCTAGCTGGATTATATGTGACAGCTGGGCAGGTGTTGCTGCCACAGTTGCTCTTGCCATCGTCCAGGGTGGGCCCGTAACTCTGGTTTATGGCTTAATTCTGATCTTCTTTCTGGTCGGTGCTTGTACCCTGACCCTGGCAGAGCTAGCAAGCGCCTATCCAACAGCTGGCGGGCAGTATCATTGGACGAGCGTTTTGGCTCCCAGACCGCTGAGTCGAGCATTGGTATGTCCCTTCCTTCACCAGATACAAACCCAGGGAAACATTGATGTGGTATGCAGAGTTACTGTTGTGGTGTCTCCAACATGCTTGCCTGGATCGCTATCTGCACCGGGATCGCAATCATTCCAGCACAACTTATCCTCGGGATTGTCCTCTTCTATGACTCGGAGTATCAATCGCAGCCATGGCACTACTTTCTCATCTACCAGTCTATTAATGGGCTGGTACTATTGTATAATACAACCCTGTTAAAGAAGTCCCTGTGGTTTCATGACGTATCCTGTACGCCTCCGCCGTGCTAGACCCGATATCAAACTACGACATCTAATCAAACTACAGTCTTTGTGACCCTCACAAGTTTCGTCATTATCATGGTAACTTGTCTTGCTCGCTCAGCCTCTCACTATCAGCCGTCAGATACCGTATGGGCAACCTTTCTCAATGGTAGCGGATGGAACTCAGGTGGAGTAGCCTTCCTCACCGGGCTTGTTTCTCCCAATTACATGTACGCAGGTATTGACGGTGCTTTGCACTTGGCGGAAGAGTGCCAGAATGCAACAACTGCCGTTCCTCGAGCTTTGATGAGTACCCTAGTTATTGGCTTTATCACCTCCTTTGCCTTCATGGTCACAATGCTATATTGCACTAGTGATTTGGATGCTGTGGTAGCCTCATCCACCGGGTCAGCTGCCGTGGCCTACCCTTCTGATTTTGTACGCTGGGACGCCAGTCTAACATGGTCGACAGAGTTCCCATTTACGAAATGTGGTATCAGGCGACACGCTCCCCCTCGGCTGCTACTGTGTTCGTTTGCCTCCTTGTGCTCGCAGCCATCTTTGCTCTCACTGGTGCTCAGCAAACAGCATCACGCCTTACCTGGTCGTTGGCGAGAGACCGAGCCCTCATCGGTAGTCAATGGATCGGAGAGTTACACGACAGCCTAGAGGTCCCTGTCTGGGCTCTCATGTTCAACTATGCTGTTATGTTCCTCATCGGATGCATCTACTTAGGCTCATCATCTGCATTCAATGCCTTTATCGGGACTGGCTTAGTTCTACAGCACATTTCGTACGCTTTCCCGGCAGTCATGTTGCTGTATCGCTGCCGATCGGCGATCTGGCTGCCAGATGTCCGCCCCTTCCGGTTACCCAGCCTTGTGGGGTGGGCGGCCAATCTGACCACAGTCTGCTTCGCGGTGTTGGTGTTGATCTTCTACGACTTTCCGACTGTGATGCCAGTTACTGGGAGTAACATGAGTGAGTTTGACTACTACCTGTTCTCTTGTGCCCAGTAGGGTTTGTTGACCGCTGGAATGTGGCTGCTAGATTATACGCCTGCGGTCCTCGGTGCCATGACTATTGTAGCTGGCATAAATTGGGTGGTGTATGCCCGAAAGTGGTATCAGGGCCCACGACTTCGCAGGTTTCGTGAGGAAGGCGGGAAATGATTCTCGATATGGGGTAATATTGCATGCATTTGCGACTACTATTGTTTGTTTTTAGTGGGTTTTTTGTAGCCAAACCTTGAAAGGATAGAGCTGGAATAGAACTGCTCCATGATATGCATAATAGGAATCCAGTACTTTCCATCATAGAGGTAGTAGCTTGTGTTAGTCGGCAAGACGGAGCATCAACATAGATTGAAAAGACACTCCGGAGTATCATTTCTCCGGAATGATAAGATAAGCTTGCCTGGGACTAACCGCAAGAGGGCAAAGGCGGATTTCCCCCGCAAAAAGCCGCCAGCAGCTCCAACAACCGGCGTGGAAGCGTTACTACTACCTTACCATCGCATTGCATACCAGTCTGTGGCATCAGACTAAATGACCCCCAAAGGTGTTAAGAATCGAGGTGCGTTCTCACATACCGTCGTCCTTCCAAACACTTCACAATCGACTGGCTAACGGGCTCCTGCAGGGTGTTTCCAGTGTACCAAGCGTCGGATTGTATGCGACGGCGCCCACCCGACCTGCTTAAAGTGCCAGAAAAAAGGAATTGAATGCTCGGGACTGGGTCGCTTCCGCTTCTCTTCAGGTGTAGCCGCCCGCGGCAAACTAAAGGGATGTGCGATTCCCACCACAGTGCCGTCTGAATCGGAAGGGAATACCCAGTCACCCACGGGGGTTCCAAGGCCCCAGAAGATACGATGGAAGAACGATGGTCCAAACCGTACCAAGCGGAAGCCAGGCGCAGCAGCCACAAAGGCTAAAACACATCCGACCGTGGGAGATGGGAAGAGTCACCAAGCTTGGCTTGAATCCGCATCTCAGAACCAATCCGCAGTTCCTGGTCCCACTGAAAACGAAGTGGCAGCAGATGCACTATGTGAAGGCTCTCAAGCTGCGCCACTCCTGTGCCCAGAGGCCGACACGATCCTGCAGGACCAACTGGAGTGGCAAGGAAGCTTCGATCACTCCAATGCGGACGAAGAAGAATGTTGTAATGACGAGTCGTCACCAGCTCCAGCCTCGTGCAGCACTATAATTCCATGGATCCCTTCTTTAGGTCCTCAGGATCGAATGTATCTTTCACATTGTAAGTTGCACCTCTCCTGGTGCCTACCTACCAGTGGCTAAATACATGCCAGTCGCAAGTGAAGTGGCCCCCGTCATGGTCATCTTCGATAATGTTTCCAATGGCTACCGGGATATTTTCTTACCTCTAGCTTGCGAAGATGAGGTTCTGCGTGGGGCCATTCGAGTCGTGGCGGCCCAGCACTTGGCTTTACAACACGCCAGTTTTCATGAAATAGCAGAAATGGGCCGTGCGGCAATCATTTCCCGGCTTCGACGCGATTCCTTACAGGCATCATCGGACAGCATTGTTAATCTTCGTACGTGGGCAACTTTGATTGTCCTGCTAGTGGGTGAAACCATCACAGGCAGTCCCGAGTACTCTCATCTGCTGCGCACATTGCTCTCCTTGATGCCGAGCCTCTGTCAAATGGAGGCGACTCCAGCTTATCGCTTTCTTATACAGCAAACCCACATGTGAGCCTTGTCGCGCTGCCTAATCGTTGATTGACGCTGATGTCTTATACAGGTTTCAATTTCTCGGACAGCCGTTGCTCAATGAAACCCAAGGCATGGATGCCCTAGGCTTTCACCCTACTCGCTACCTCGACTGGACCGACTATCAACTTCCCCCCGAGTCGAGGCACAATAGGGTTCTTTGGGTGGTCCGACAGGCCTTTATTGAAGCTTCCCAGATTTATATCCTCCGAGCCACTACCAACCTCGACCTATGGGATAGACTCGAGAGCTTGAAACAGCTGGTGTCACGCATCGACCCTGACGAGCAGGGTGCTCATGCCCTTGTTTGGGTGTGCTTCATCGCCGCTGCGGATTCTACTGATCCCGAGCACCGGCATTATTTCACCGAACGGATGAACCAGGTCTTCGCAAAGACAAAGTTTCAAAATATTGTTGCAGCTGTGCGGACGCTACCGGACATTTGGGCGCAACAGGGCTCCGGGCGCTGGACGTCGAACTTAATTCAGCTAACCCCCACGCTCATTATGTAAAGTACTTCCACTTGCTGATCGGGTATCAATACGCTCTTTCAGTAGTAAGATACTCCCGGGACAGACTAGACTTATATAGTCAGTTAGAGACACCAACCGTTGTCAACGCTTTAAAATCTCCTCGTGACTGCGACAAATCGCCTTCCAAAAACATGACAGGAGAACCTTTAGTTGGCCAGATAACGTGTTATGGTTACGAAATTGCCTATCTCAACTCAGAGAACACGCGGATGTCAACTCCAGTGCCGACAGTGACCTGTGGATGGGAGTTACATGGCACCCGCCCGGGTGATGGATCTGGGGCACTGGTGTGGAGTGACAGCCGGGAGCTGCGACGCCTCGGGCCCACTGATCTCGCGGTGCGACTATCTTTGCGACCACACCCTAGCCCAAGAAGGCTTTCCGGTTCCAGCAGATGGGATTACACCATTGGTTGAACTACCGGGATGATCCAAACTGGAGAGAGACTGTCAAACATTTGACACGCAATAAGCTTGGTTGCCAATGGGTGATCGAAGTGGGCAGTCCTCAGGCCATCAAGCAATCGTTCAAGTGTGTTGCCCGTGGCGGAGAAATTGGTATTGTCGGTTGTTTGACCGGGCAAGGACTCGTCGAGGATGGTCCGACGTTTTTGGAGCCGCGTAATTCGAGCCTCGGAGCTTAACCAGCGCATAAGAGCTCCCTTACACGGCGACACCTCGCCAATCCAGCTCCAAGATATCGACAAAGTCTTCGAGACGATGAATAACTCCAGCATTCGCTTCCTTCCTGTATTAAGCCTTACTTTATGAATCATTACGGGGCAGTTTATCTGCACTCAGCCCTGAGGTTGGAAGTCTAGTGCTAGCTAGGCCTAGAGATATAGAGATAGTGTGAATGAATAATAATGCCGTTTGCGTGGTTATTGACTATAGATTCCAAGGTTGTTTCAATAAAGGTCAAGCACATCCTGCCGAAGATCACTACCCTCAACCACCATTTGATCCCTCAGGAAGGACCTGGTCTGTCTCCCAATCAACTGCACGAGTAAATCTTACTGGTTGTTGACGGGTCCGATTTACTTGGAGATCAAAGACGTCCATGCGCTGGTAGCCACCGGCAGTATCGTGGTATTGTTTGCCCTCGATACAGTCGGTCAAATTAACATCAGCGTACAGCATCCCTTCCCGAGCTTGTAGGAAATCAACCGAATGCTGAGCCGACGTAGCTTCATCTATCCAAAACCCCCGTATCGGTGCCCCCGTTGGGTCGAGAAACATAGTCGCCGCTCGTTGGGATTGCTCCAAGGACTGTTTTAGGCCAGACGAACCAGAGGAGACGATCTCAATCGCATCGGGTCCCAATAGCCTGGCACAGAGGATCCCGAAGCATTTGGCCTCGAAGCAATGGGCGGCCGCGCGGATTCTGTTCGCGGCGACATTGTCATAGTTTGCCTTTCCTGTAGCGTCGGGCTGTGGCTTGTGCTCTTCCGTCGTGGATTGCGATGGCAACCAGGTCGGCCATACAGCCGGCCAGGTCGAGATATGGATCTGCTCGCCCTGAGCGATAAGAACATATCGAGCCAAAGGATTAGTATTCTCCCCACAAATAAGGGCCCCAATCTTGCCGAACTCCGTCTCTGCCACCCGTAATCCGTAGCCATCCCCAGGCGACCAAGTCAGCTTCTCAAAGAACGTCGGCACGAGTTTCCGGTGATGGACGAGAACGTTGCCCTGACTGCCAATGATCATGTTCGAGTTAAATAAGGTCGCACTGCTGGTGCGGACCTTCTCCGAGAAGCCAAGGCTGACGGTGACGTTGCATTTCCTCGCCGTCGCGCGAACCGCCTGCATCTCCTCGCCGTCTGCGTGGATGGATTCCCGGACCATCCGCTGGAAGAGGTCATGGTTCTCAGTCGGTGGGCGCAAGGCGCTCCAGATGGGGAATGCCGATATGAAAGATTCCGGAAACGCGACGAGGTTGGCCTTGTTTCTAGCGGCCTGTTCGATCAAGCGGATTGCTTTGTGCGTTGTTTCTTGAGCGGAGAGGAAGATGGGAGCGACGTGGGCGGCGGCAAGTCGCACCTGAGTGGCCATGGTCACCGATCAAATCAGTGAGGAAAGAAGCGTCTTACGAGGAGACAGCCGGCGCTAACATATATATACCAAGGGCCATTATGCTTCTCCAAGCCTACCCCAAGCCAAGTAAACTTAACTGAGCAGTGAGAGAGGATCTCTTTTCTACTATAGCCGGTTCAGAACAGAGATGCAGATATCTTACACGACATTACATGAGGCTATGTCGCCAGAGAGAAGGACAGGCCACAGTCATGTCTCTTATGAACCATCTTCCTTCCAACTCCCAGGGCTTCCGGAGGTCAGTGACGAACATTCAACATATCCCCGGCTCGGACTATCTGGTCCTCCGAGGCTCCAATCGGGTCTGGCGGTCCGTTCCGCTCCCGTTCCGCTTTCTTTCCGCGTCTAACCAAGCATGTTCGCATCCCAGACTCAAGTTAAAGAGACTCAGCTTGTAGTCTTGTCACCAGCTCTAGTTGCTCCACTATGGAAAATGGGTCCATCAGCGTGCACTGGATGTAACCTTACGGACTACTAAAAACCAGCCACCCTTTGGTGAACGGCTTTTGCATTGCAAGTGATTATCCCACCCTCCCACTCCGCCAGTTATGGATTGTCCTGCTAGAAGATTCCCTCTGCGTCGACCAGCTAATCATGTTCCCCCTATACCGCGATGGTATACACACTTTGCAAACGGCCTAGACAGAGTTTTCACTGCTTACATTGGGATTCAACAACATAATGGGCCCGACACGGGGCGAACTCAGTGTCTTGCAGCGATCGAGCTCTGGCTTGCTGAAAACCAGAACAACGCACCGGCTGCGATGGAGCGATTCAAGGTCATCGACGGAGATGACGCTCCGGAGTCACTCATTTTTGTATGCTACTGGGACAACGAATCAAAGTACGAGGAGGGTATCAGAGCATTGAATCTCACTCAGCTATACCAAGAGCTTGAGAAATCGGTCCAACCGACGGTGGGTCTCTGGTGTGAGAGGTTTGTCAGCCACGTCTCTCGTTTGGAGACAAACTATTCGGGAACAGACTATCTGCCTGGCCTGGCTCGACTACCGGGCACAAAGACCGTAGAGCATTCATACTCGGCATACTGGGGCGCTGCTCGGGATCGAATCCCTGATTCGGCATTTGATCTCTTTGAGCAGGATGACAATCCCACAGCAGCAGCTGTTTCTCATAATATGCCAACCTCCTTAGGCAGGCACCTCACGGGTACCAACTTCCAGAACATGGTCCATATACGGACTGGTCAATTCTGGAACAACTGCGACGAGGATGAGAGGCGTTCCTACGAAGACAAACTGGAACCGACACTCCGGGAAGGCCTACTATACTTATGGCAGAACCCCGGCGAGACGGGCTCAATGGGACTGAGATACCTAACTAACATTCCTACTTCTTCGCCCCAGTGGTTGGGACAGTCAAACGAATCCTGCGTGACTGGATTCTTCAGAAGCCTTGCTGATCTGGAAACCTGGGCCAAGAAACACCCATCGCATCTGGCTATATACACTGGTGCTATTCGACATGCGAAGACCTTTGGGGATAGACGGAAGTTTCGGACATGGCACGAGGTTTCGGTGCTTGAGCGCGGCGATGCGCACTTTGAATATCTCAATTGCCTGCCGCGTACTGGCATGATAAATTGTATATCCCTCACCGAAGTTAGTGATTAACGTCTGATTAATAATTTACGCAAATTGTGATTTCTCAATGAAGGGGCACTACGCTGGATCAGACAGATCAGTAACATACTTCTCTACCTACTTTCGAGATGCTTTCACGTCCTATGGTTCTTCGGTATCTAAAGGCCCTGTGGGACTCTATGCGCTTTTATGTCAATGGGAATGACGGGACAAGTAGGGTAAAAATATCTCTAGCCGGGCTGTAGAGACAACAATGATATGGCGTGGGGGGTAGAGACGTTTGAAACGACATCATCAAGACTCCATGTAATTCTCACAGTTCCTTACGAAGGCACTGATAGCCCATGATGGATCGATTGCGACTTTAAACGGCTTGTGCTGAAAGGCATTAATGACATTCGTGGATATCGATCCAGCATCGTGCGACCCAAAGTGGCTTGAAGACAATGATTGAACAAGATCTTTCGTTATCAACCTACAACACAACCTTAGCTTCATGTGTATCAGGTATGTGGCCCATACGCAATAGCAGCACGTTTTCCGGCATTCAGAAAGCTTGTTCCATTGGACATCGGAAATGTACAAACACTCATGGACATATCCGATAACGATCTGTAGATCCAATCGGAGGCTGGACATTGGCCTCCAGCTTGGCTTCATGTCCATCGCTTGCAGCTGGGCTCCCCCGCAACTTGCTTGGCACTCCATTCTTGACAGCAATTGCGTTTTCGGGGTGGGATACTGTGGGACTGCCTTACCCCAGATTCTCTTGATGCGGAGATGTGGAGACATGAAAGTCTATGTATCAGCTCAAGTCCACCAGATATTCAGGTATAAAAGGAGACATCTCCTTGGGTCGACATGCCCATCCTCTGTCAGCATTCTCCATCCAGCGCTGGCCTTTCCTAAGCAAATCCGGTCATAATGGCAGACTCGTCTCCTCATGCCAGCACCGAGAAGGACAGCTCGAACCATGTCGAGTACCTTGGAGACCCTGAGAAATCTACTTCAGCTACCCCAGAGTATGACAGGTTTGGCTCTTTCGCTAAGGTCGACCCCAAGGAGATTGCCCTGGTGAGGAAGATCGATCTGTACATGATGGTTTGGTCCGCCCCAACCGTTTGGATACTGAGCTATTTTGACGATTACTAGCCGATCCTTTGGCTGATGTACTTCCTGAACTTTCTTGACCGCAACGCAATGGTGAACGGCAAACTCAATAGCCTCTCTAAAGACTTAAACTTGAAGGGAACGGAGTATAATACCTGTATTAGCATTCTCTTTGTTGGGTAATCTCAGCGCGATGGTTCCTTCTACATTACATATACTGACAAGATTGATCTAGATATCTTCTTGGCCAAGTCCCTTCCAACATGCTCCTCAATCGAGTCAGACCTTCGTGGTTTATGGCCGGGTTCATGATGGCGTGGGCACTTGTTTCTACTCTCACATGCCTGGCCAAAGACTATCACAGTATGCTCGTCTGTAGAATACTGCTCGGATTCGTTGAAGCACCATTCTACCCTGGAGCGCTGTTTATGATATCTTTGTTCTACACTCGCAAGGAGGCGACCACCCGCATGGCCATTCTCTATACTGGCAACATGCTCGCCAGCGCTTTTTCCGGTCTAATTGCCGCGGGTATCTTCGCAGGCCTTGATCAGAAGCACGGCCTTGCAGGGTGGCAATGGCTGTTTCTCATCCAAGGGGTGGTAACTGTTGCCGTCGCTATTGTCGCCTTCTTCCTGCTCCCCAACGCACCCCGCTCAACACCATGGCTCACCCCTGAGGAGCGACAACTTGCCAATGAACGGATTAAGCGCGACACTACGCAGAGGGAAGAAGGCACTAGCACGTGGGTTGGCCTCCGCGAAGCCTGTATGGATTACCGCACATGGATCTTTGCCTTGATGTGCAATCTACATCTGTCGGCAAACGGATTCAAGAACTTCATGCCGACCGTGGTGCAGACTCTTGGCTTCAACTCCACGATAACACTAGTTCTCACATGCCCACCATATCTCGTGGCTACGTTCACGTCCATCGCAGTGTCGTGGTCATCGGGACACTTCAACGAGCGTACTTGGCATGTTACCGTTTCGAAGGCCCTCGCGATTGTTGGTTTCGCGGTTGCCTGTGGGACCCTGAATATCGGTGCGCGGTATTTCGCCATGATCCTATTTGTTGGTGCCACCTATGGGGTGAACAATATCAACATCGCGTGGACAGCTGCGACGCTGGGTCAAACTGACGAGAAGAAGGCCGTGGCAATTGCCATCACCAACACATTGGGCAACCTCGCCAGTGTCTACACACCCTACCTCTGGCCTGATAGCGACGCTCCACGATTTTCACTCGCGATGTATTGTAGTATCGGATTTTCGGTCGGAGTGGTCATTCTAGCTTGGATCATGCGAATCATCTTGACGCGAGAGAACAGAAAGCTCCGGGAATTGGACTCGGGAGTGATCAACCTCTATGCCTACTGAAGTTAAATCAGAGTTAGTCAATTTACTGCGCGTTTAATGTCATATGATCGAGGAAAGCACACCTTGCATGTAAGATTGAGGAGTACCAATGCAGTTGACAGCAATCCGAAAGGCGGACTTTTCAGTGAACATGCAACTTCACGAGCGCTAGAGAGGATGCTTCTCGTTTCTCTCACGTTACTCTTTTTGCCCTACTTACACTATCATCTATTTCCACAAGCTATTTCAGCTAGAGTACTGCAAGTTGCGACGACTAATTGGACTAGAGTACCCAGTTGCGGGTTAGGATCGGAAAACCCTAACCCCTCTTGTTTTCCGGGTTGCTTTTCCGGTAGTCCGGAAATCAAAGTAGAAGTGGCTAGTTGGTACTCGTCGCCCATAACAGTGCCCCATTTGCATGTACAACGGCAGACAAACATATCTTGATATTGTGCCTCTACATTGAACCGGTTCTGCTCAGCACATGTGGCCGAGGTTAAATCTGGCCACCCGTTTTTCCTCTTGGGGCTCTTGCTCGGATAAAGCATATAGGCCGCATATAAACGCTATGCATTTGAATGTACAGAAGACAAGTGGCAGCGGATGGCCTAAGCGCCACATTTTCACTTCTTAAACTTTAATAGACCTAAAGTTGGTATTGATGACTTTCGTGAATGGCTCCACAATAGCTAAAAAGAAGTTACGCTGTCCACTGACTCGCAATGGGTGATGTGATCCAAGCGGATTTGGGTATGACGAGTTGTATGCGAAGGCACTCAGCTATTGTAGGAATGCAACATAATGACAGTAACAGTGACCCTCCTGGGGACGAATATGCTTCCCCAGGGCGAGGGATCCAAGCCAGCACGTTTGAGTCGGGGGCTGGGGCCAGGCGGGAATAGTTCCGTTCGCCTAGTAGGATGTGGCATAGTCTCTCAGGTTAATCTACTGGCAATAATTGGACGTCCCATTCCTCCAAGACTTGTGGTTCCCACTGGTTCAGGGCTTGACATGAGTATGCGGGGTTAAATATCCGGAAAATCATCTTGCCTTTCCGTCTAACTGTATCTCTGCTCCTTTTCCATTTCAGATACGTTGCCCCAAACATTCGGATATAGCGTATTCTTCATCTTTTCGATGGAGGTGACTAGTACTCGTCCGAGGAAACGCCGATGCGTCAAAGAGCGCGTCCGTGTCACGAGGGCGTGCGATGCTTGCAAAAGGCGCGTTGAGAATTCCAGAAGATATCGGAGTTTAATAACGCTAACAGTAACATAGAAAGAAGCTCCGCTGCTCGGGTACTCTTCCGTGCTCTCTATGCCAGCGTTCGAGTCAGAGCTGTGAATATACCACAAGCTATACGAGGGGGAAGGCGCCTCCTATCCCAACGCTCCATCAACCTACAGTCAATAGCAATGTTGCCGAGCATCATACACCAAGTAAACAAGTCCCTGATGTAAACCAAATGCCTACATCCCCGGATGCAGAGGTGATAGAAGGTCATTCTTTGTCTCGTGTCGATGGAGACGCCAGTAACCTGCCGTCGCGAGACTCACCAGAGCCGCATCAAACTGACATGGAAGGTCATTATGTCGGTCCATCCTCAGGCGTCTCATTCTTACTCCGTATTCAGAAAAGACTCCATGAGAATATCGCATTTCCATTGAATACGCCCATCTTTAGTTTTGGCGATGCTCCTCTGCCCAAATCGGACCCGTCCTTCCTTCTGCTCCCCAGCAAGAATGACGCTAGAGAGTTAGTCAATAGATACTTTGACTTTGCGTTTCCCACGCATCGCTTCCTCTACCAGCCGCAGGTGGAATGCTGGCTTGACGAACTTTACAACCATCTGCTGGAGCCCCACCCTCTTGGACCTGGAGAACGGACAATCAGAGCACTGCTCCTCATGGTTTTCGCACAGGCATCACAATATAAGCCGGAGTCCGGTAATAACTTGGAAGATTCACGTATGAGGTCGGTTTCCATTCTTCCGCTACCCTAGTTCCACTCTGATCTCTCATCATCATGGAACAGCGCAGTCTACTTTGGTGCGGCAGAGCACCACCTAACAGCCGAGACTGGTCCCATTCGAGTGACCAGTGTGCAGGCACGTCTGGCTCAATGCTTCTATCTTCTGTCGCAGTCTCGTATTAACCACTGCTGGAGCCTCTTCGGCACGACGGCTCGTCTTGCCATCGCCATTGGTCTACATCGAAAGCGTCGCCGAGAGCACCCGAATACAGTCAACCTTATTGAACAAGAGTGCTCAAAGAGAGTCTTCTGGTGTGCGTATAGCTTGGACAATTATCTGAGTGCTGCTTTGGGTCGTCCTCGGATCTTCCATGATGACGAGATTGACCAAGAATTCCCTGAGATTGCCGAAGATAGACAGATCACGGTGACCTCCATCCTTCCGCCAACCTCGAGTACTCAGAGCATCATGTTGGCCCCCGTCTACCATGCAAAGCTGTCCAAGATTATCAGCGGTGTTTTACATGACTTGTACGGTATTCAGCGGTCAACACTGGCGGTACAAGCCTCAGCTGCTGCGAAATACGCAGCTGAAATGGCACAATGGCGAAAAGAGCTGTCTGAGTTCGTCGACCTTCCCAATGTAAACTTATTGAGGATTACCTATCAGCGACAATTCACCGTCTTGAATCTCGCGTTCTATCATGCACAGATCTTGCTGTATCGCCCATTTCTCTTGAAGGGCTTCACACTCCTCAGCAAAGGACCTAGCAGGCGAAACGATAAGCTGCAGGGAACGATCGACCAGAATATCAAGTCTTGCTTGGAAGCGGCCATGAAGGTTGTTTCCATTGTCCATGATCTGTCCACGAATGGAAAGATGTATCGGGCTTTTTGGGTAAGAAACCTGGACGTTCAGTATTGGTTCAAGGTCTGACTGAGGTTGAAGTTTACCCATTATTATGCGTTCTCCGCCATCGTTGTACTCTATGTCCACTACATCCGTAGTCGCTCTCGCCAGAGTACAACTGATGCAGATCTTGCGTACTACATGGCTGGTAAACAGGGCCAAGACGACCTAGCATCCTGCGGTTCGCAAGCGTCCTTCTCCCAGCGTTATGTGATGGTTTTGGAGGAGCTTCGCAAGGAGGCGCACAAGACCATAATCCAGGGATATCAGGAGTCAGTCGATGCGCCACCCACGAATAGGCCAGGTTCAGGCGCAACTGAGAGTGGAACATCAAGACCCGAAGAGCTTGATCAGTTGAGAAATGTCGCTGACTCTCAAGATATTGGAGGATACCCCGCCACAGGTGACAGGCTCGACGATATTTCCGGCTCCATGCAAGTATCCTATCATGCGATGCAGCCTGCTAGCTCATTTCAATTCCCGTCAGCACCACAAGAATCCGACGTGGGGTCTCTACAAGGCATCAGCCCAGAGTCGTATGTCGCGGATCTGGCTAGCTGGGGTGAATTTGACTCTCTCGCGGCGACTGGGCTGGGGGACTTTGGCAACCTCTTTCCGTTTGATGTGCCCCCAGGGCTCGACGGGTAAGGAATTTACGTGCACGAGTGGTGTTCCTTCGTAGAGATACCAAGCCTTTGCTTCCAAAAGCCATCTTCTCTCGCCAGGCAGACACAATTCGTATCCGTGGATCAGGTGACCATCCTTGCGACAATCAATTCTCAACCCATTATAAATGCTACCTCGGCCCCCGCGTTCTTCTTGCCGGTGCACGAATCCAACCTTTTCGTCTTCTCCTTCCATTACACTGCGACCCCAATTCCAATCCAAGATGTCCACTGGTCAGGTATCGGCCCTCTTAGCGCCCGTCGTTGCCCTCAATATCTGGACCTTCGTCATGGAGGGCTGGATGTATAAAACACGGATCCCAGTGTATACCAAGATGAATCTGAGGAACACCAGCACAAAGCGCGAACTCGATGCGATGACGCCGGCGAATGTTCGATGGAAGGCCGACAATTACAACCACCTGATGGAGCAGCCAACCCAATTTTACGCGATAGCCCTCGTGTTGGCTCTGGCCGGCAAGGATGACAAGATCGACATCATGCTGTCCTGGTCCTATGTGGCCGTCCGCGTTGTGCACAGTCTGGTGCACTCTACAAACAACCATATTATGACCCGGTTTTCCCTATTCGTAACTTCTTCGGCAATCTTGGCGGTTATGACTGGGCGGGCCGCGTTGCTGGTCTTCTGAGCATTGAGATAGGACACATGTACAGGGATCAGTGACTTCTAGCTAGCAGTCTGACGGGGGATGGTGAGCATTTGTGAGGACATGTACAGCTGGTGGTATTGGGATGTTGAATTTTTTGTGAGGTACCCAATCTCAACTCTTCTTCATAGTGAGCATTGCCTCGAGATCGGCGCTGCAGGAGAAGTCCGATACGGTGGACGAATAGGGTTAGTGTGAAACTTCTTATACGAGCAATTTGTAAACTTGCCCACCCAAGCCTGTCCACAATTAGTCTGCATCCGTTGTCAACCATGCATCGCCTCTGTGCTCGCTGCGAGGCCATTCCGCTCCATAACCTTCTCCAACAAGGACATTGCCTCTGGAAGGAGGCGAACGAGCCCGAGTTGTCGTGGGACATCCCGTGGTATTCATCGCTAAGTGAACTGACTGCACCGTCGTGGCCAGACTGCGCGTTTTGCAAGCTAGTTCACCAAGGCTTGGAGGCGTCTTTCGAATATGAGGCGGCACAGCAAGAAGCATACGGAGACGTCCCTCCGACAAACTCCACGGAAACAGACGCGAAGGATCCCCTGCGCAAGATGGAAGGATACCTGGACTTCCCCATGACCATGTCGCTGCAACTCCGCTCATCTTTATCAAGCGAAGACGGTGCGGAAGCCATGGAGATATCACAGCGTAGTGGAATGGCCCATGCTATTCTGACCGTCAGAATCTCGTCGGGGGTCTCGTGGGGTCTGACACTCCAAGCGGAGTTTCGTGTAGCGACCAATCATGGTATGTATAAATAGCGATCACTATTCCTCCGAAGTCCGGCTTAATCGTAATGCTTCTTAGACGGCCCTTTGGCGGAAATGATCCTAGGCCGGACTGTCGCGCAATCAGCTGACAGTGACCAGGCCTTTTCGGTTATCAAGGTCTGGATGGACTCATGCATCAACGATCACCATACACAATGTGCGGAGGCCTCGCAACCACCACTGCTCCCAACGCGGGTAATCGATGTCCGGCCAGTAGGGCTTGATCCAGGGTTAGTAAGACTTCGAGATGACCAGAATAAAGTGGATCGCGCTGCTCGTTACGTTGCCTTGAGTCACTGCTGGGGAAAATGCATTCCATTCGCGACCACCCTTGAGAATCTAGAGGATCGCAAGCGAGAGGTCCGTATCACGGACATGTCTCAAGTCTTCCAGGAGGCGGTTCTCATTACACGTCGGCTTGGCATACAGTATCTCTGGATCGATACACTTTGTATTGTCCAAAATGATCGGCATGACTGGGAAGTCGAAGCTGGGAGAATGGCGAAAGTCTACATGGACGCCTTTGTGGTGATCGGGGCGTCAAATTCAAATGCAGATGATCAAGGATTTCTTGGCCCTCGAGATCATTTGGGTTCAATTAACTGGGTGGGGACTCTCCAGAACGGACGCAGCAGCTCTTTGGCTGTATCCCTACTACCTCCAGCAGGAGAACGATGGACATCTGGCCGGGATCCGGTCTCGTCCGAGCCACTCCAGGGCAGAGCCTGGTGTTTACAAGAGCGGTATCTCGCCCAGCGCGTTCTACTTTACGGCGCAAGACAGCTCTTCTGGGAGTGTCGCGCCCTCAGCCGGGCTGAAGATGGGGATCTCAGGCTGGGTAATCTCCATAATCTGGATCGTCTGAGAGGAACGGCATCGAGCCAAAGGACTATATTTGGCCCACGCCCAGGAGGGGACTCGGAAGTCAATTATCGAGGGTGGTACGAAATGATTGAGGAATATACCCAACGTTCAATCACCCACCAGTCGGACCGATTCCCTGCATTATCAGGTGTAGCAGACGCAATAGCGCAGACGTCCAAGGACGTATACCTTGCCGGAATCTGGAGGAAGGGACTGGTCGAAGGTTTGCTCTGGTGTGCAATGAACCGCGAAGAGCCACTTCAGAAGCCAACGTCGTATCGTGCCCCATCCTGGTCGTGGGCCTCTGTCGAGGGGCATGTTCAATTTATTGTATATCATTTCATCGAGCGATGTAGGTGGAAGCGTGGCATTGCAGACTACGAGCAACTAGCAACATTCGTGGATTGCGAGGTTAAGAAAGACGGGCCTGATGTCTATGGCACTGTCAAGAGTGGGTATCTTCGTCTGCAGGCGCCCCTCTTGCCAGTCAAGAGTCTATATCCTGCAAGTAATAGGTCTCCAGTCTCCGAGGTGCTATTACCGCCTCTACAAAATTCGACCGTTGATAAAGTGGTGGAAGTGGAAGTGGAAAACGAGTCTTTCTATCTTCACGCGGGATTTGATCTGACACCCGAGCCAGTATTCCCCCAGCAGCAGCTGTTTGTCCTCTTCCTCGCCCGCCTTCCAGATGGTAACCATGGGTTTTCTCCGTTCATGGACCACCGATTCGGTTTGCTAGTTAGACGTACCGACATGGATAATGAGGTCTATGAGCGAGTAGGTATCATCGACTCGCCAATCCTGACAAAGGATACACCTGGAGGTATTTTGATGACCCTCCTTCGCCTTCTGGAGAATTTGCTCCGATTCCTAGAGAGCCTCTCGCCTTCCGCGGACAGATTGCCTGTCTTTAATCTGACACCACGGCTATTCGTGCCGAAAAGGGCCCTGGCAGAGGAACCTGAGGAAGAGATGCCCCCTGATCCACTGCCCGAACTGAAACGGCACTCGGTCCTAGTTACTCTTGTATGATTTAAAAATCTCTGTAAGGGTAGAGAAATATCAGCTTAGCTTATCGCGCGAATGACATGTGTAATGAACTTTGCTGGTTACGTGGTTTAGCGTGGCTTTCCTGAGCAGCTGTACGCGGTCTCCAGCACAACTCAAACCCGGTGAGTCGAATCGAGGATGCTTGGCTTCCCACCCGAATGTCTGTAGCCTGGACTATGGGATAAATTGATGAGTAGGCACGCCGTCACCCTTTTTGAGATTATCTCCCTATCCCCTTGTCAATTCTACATACGTCATCCCCGTCGTAAATGGTATATGAAAGCCGGCAACGGTCTGGGCATCGCATAGAATCAAGTCTGTGGTCGTAAAGTGAGCTTGCTATGTGTGTGCGGAATCTGCGTGTTGCATATAGAGCACCAACGTCCCACTGCGCAATCATCTGGAATGACCTTAGTGATATCGCTGGCTCCCATCGTTCGATGTTATCGAGGGTCTAGTCGCTGTTCCACAGGAATAGCCCCAAACAAAGAAAAGGCCCATAATCAGGTTTCCTAGCAAGCCTCCCTCCCAGTGTACCACAAGCTATTTCCGCCAGCGACACCACTTCGCACTTCGTGTTCACAATGTCGTCAACACCTCTGAACCGAAACTCGGTGGAGGTAATGCGCTTTTCCGACCCGACCAAGTTTCGCTGCCGACGATGGACGCGAGATGGGGGCCATGGTCCAGTCGATCCCGATGGCGCTTCGGAATGGACTGGCACTTCTATTAACTTAGCAAAAGGCTTTCCGGGGCCGAGGGATCGACAGCGATAGTCCGCGACGAATCGAGTGTTGCATTGTGCGTATCGCATGAATAATGCGGGACGTGATAGTTAACAGGCTTCAATCGGCGTGATCGTCTTGGTTGACTAATAGCACTGAGGTCAATTTTATCCAGCTAGGTCTTGATCGCGTACATTAATGCGCGCTGTTCTCGCCTATGATATTAGTTTTTGTACCCATACATGCTGTCAGGATCACATCTCCATGATGATTGTCTCAATTTCGTCACGTCGCGTCTCACGATAAACAAACCCTGCGGAATCGGAGGAACTATGGTCCGCCATGTGCTACAGTCCCCCATGGTCGGAACTATTTGTCCGGTGGCTTGTCATCGTTAGAAATTGTTTAGGAAGCCCTTAGTAGCCATATAATTTAATCAAACGCTGTCCGAAATTCTCCGAGAAGACTTGGGGGTTCCTATAATCGGTTGATGTTCAAATCAGAATAAGTCCTGAAAGATCCTGTCAAGGTATACTTGGAGGATATATATCTTTGTCCGTAGAAATGACAGCGATCAGCAAACTGATGACTATCTCTCAGAAATCAATTTCGAAAACCTCCACAACTAGCCTAACGTGATATCTCTAAGCCACATACATTTTATGATTTTTCATGATATTAATCTACGTATTACAGACAGTTTCAGGGCCTGTCGTCGACTACGCAGTACATAGTTCCCATGTGACGTCCGGGAGCCCTAAGCCCTATAGATTACCTATATGGAAATGCCGCTAGCTCTCTTGGGTAAGGAGCTTAACCCCCGTGATCCGGATAAACATCGTCGCAGGAAACTCGCAGGTGGAAGTCAACCTCCCAATGAAGGCGCATACTCGTACCGCGATGGGTCGCCTTTATTTATGCCACATGCGGGGTCAATCATTCCGAGACTGAACCCCCACGAATTATCCATGAATGATAGTCGGACATGCGGAGCTCGTCCCCACTCGACGGGATCTCGGGGCGAGCGCCGTCATGCTATCCGCTAGGATGTCGATCTGCCGCCAGGGTATTTATTGATACGGCTTGTTCGTTGGATGTACTTGTAATGAACGAGTCGGGTACAGTCCCAGAAATTTCCACCTAGCCGCGGAAATGACGTTGGACATAGATTACGTGCTCTCCCACCTCACCCAGGAGGACAAGATCGCCCTTCTCGCAGGTGATCTCACCCGCCCTGATGATTAGGCCGAGAGTCAGCGCTAAAACTGAGCCAGGCACCGACTTCTGGCACACCCACCCCATTCCCGAGTTGAACGTGCCTTCAATTCGTACCACCGACGGCCCCAATGGCGTAAGAGGCACGAAGTTCTTCGCCGGTGTGCCGGCCGCCTGTTTGCCCTGTGGCACCGCCTTGGCGTCGACTTGGGATCAGGGTCTACTGCGCGATGCGGGAATCTTGATAGGAAAAGAATGTCTGGCAAAGGGAGCACACTGTTGGCTTGGTCCAACAATCAATATGCCCCGATCACCCCTCGGCGGCCGGGGGTTTGAATCTTTCGCAGAGGACCCACATCTCGCCGGAAGAATGGCTGCCACAATGATCACAGGCTGTGAGAGTACTGGGGTCATCTCCGCCGTAAAACATTTTGTGGGTAATGACCAGGAACATGAGCGGAGGGCTGTGGATGTTCTTGTCACCCAGCGCGCATTGAGAGAGATCTACCTGCGACCGTTCCAGATCGTAGCCCGTGACGCGTGTCCAGGGGCTCTGATGACTTCCTACAACAAGATCAATGGGAAGCACGTTGTAGAGAGTAAAGAGATGTTGGATATGGTCCGCCAGGAATGGAAGTGGAACCCGCTGATCATGAGTGACTGGCTGGGGACTTACACTACGATTGACTCGATGAAGGCCGGTTTGGATTTGGAGATGCCGGGCCCGTCGCGGTATCGAGGTCGATATGTGGAATCCGCCCTGCAGGCAAGGTTGATCAAGGAGTCGACCATCGATAACCGCGCACAAAAGGTCCTTGAGTTTGTTCAGCAAGCAAGCAGTGCCCCAGTATCCGCTGTGGAAACTGGAAGAGACTATCCGGAAGACCGGGCGCTGAATCGAAAGTTGTGTGCCGATAGTATCGTGCTTTTGAAGAATAGGAACGATCTTTTGCCTTTGCCAAAAACCATTAAGAAGATTGCCCTGATCGGCTCACATGTGCGAACTCCAGCGATTTCCGGCGGTGGCAGCGCGTCGTTAGAACCGTACTATACTGTTTCATTGTACGACGCGGTGAGCGAAGCTCTTCCCCACACCGAGATTCTCCATGAGGTGGGCGCTTATGCACACAAAATGCTCCCTGTGATCGACCGGCTCCTTAGCAATGCCGTGATGCACTTCTACAACGAGCCCATCGGGACGGAGCGTATCTTACGTGCCACACAGCCGATGTCGAAGACGGCCTTTCAACTGATGGATTTCAATGCTCCGGAGCTCAACAGAGGACTATTCTATGCGACACTAACCGGTGACTTTACACCAGATGTGTCAGGTGTGTGGGACTTTGGCCTCACAGTCTTTGGCACCGGCACCCTGTACGTCGATGACAAACTCGTCGTCGACAACACCACGCATCAAACCCGAGGAACAGCATTCTTCGGCAAAGGAACGGTACAAGAGCTGGGATCGAAGACTCTCAACGCGGGACAAACATACAAGATCCGCATCGAATATGGATCTGCGAATACCAGCCCCATGAAAGCGATCGGCGTGGTACACTTTGGTGGTGGCGCAGCGCACCTCGGAGCATGCTTACGTGTCGACGCCGCGGAGATGGTGCGCAGTGCTGTTAAGGCAGCCGCAGAGGCGGAGTACACTGTTCTCTGCACGGGCCTGAACCATGAGTGGGAATCCGAGGGGTTTGACCGGCCAGACATGGATCTCCCACCTGGAATTGATGCATTGATCGCCTCTGTTCTGGAGGTAGCCGCAAATAAAACTGTGATTGTTAACCAGTCCGGGACGCCGGTGACGATGCCCTGGGCTGATAGAGCGCGAGGGATCGTTCAGGCCTGGTATGGAGGTAATGAGACGGGCCATGGTATCGCGGATGTGATATTTGGGGATGTCAACCCATCCGGCAAACTGCCACTATCGTGGCCGGTGGATGTGAAGCATAACCCAACATATCTGAATTACGCCAGCGTGGGGGCAGGGTGCTATACGGCGAAGATGTCTATGTTGGGTATCGGTACTACGAGAAGCTCGGCCGGGAGGTGCTATTTCCATTTGGGTATGTGCTTGTCCTTTGGGTGTTGGATTACGGCTAATCATGTAGACACGGCCTTTCCTATACGACCTTCACTGTGTATCCGGACGTGGTCTTCTCCCAGGAGGCTCTGAGACCCGAGCAACCGCCAACTGCTGCGGTACAAATTAAGAATACTGGCAAGGTAGCTGGTGCGCAAGTCCTCCAATTGTATATCTCCGCCCCCCATTCCCCCACACCCCGCCCGGTGAAGGAGCTGCACGGATTTACCAAGGTTCACTTGCACCCCGGGGAAGAAACAGTGGCCCATATTCGCATGGATAAATACGCCACAAGCTTTTGGGATGAAATTGAAGGCATGTGGAAGAGCGAAGAGGGTGTGTATGAAGCCCTGATAGGTACATCAAGTCAAAATATCTTGGCTCGGGGGACATTCAGGGTGGACAGGACGAGATATTGGCTTGGATTATAACCAGGGGTCTATCTCCCTAGCTTAGCCGCAAAGAAGATCTACACCGGATAAATTGAATGCATTTAGCCAGACTTTAGCTTAATGCTGTGGGGGCACCACCAGGCCTATCCTTCGAGACAATCCGGGGTAAGCAGATGATCATATTTCGTATAAAGCAGCCACCCCGACTACTGATCACTCCTAGCCTATAATATCCCTGGCCCTTGGGCCCCTCTTGGCAGTCGGTTAGGGATATTGCTCCGGCTTAAATGCATTGACATCCCGGGCGATTGGTGGAATCTCGCTCAAGTTCTCGGGGGCTTTCCAATTAGGGGACTCGGTTACTGTCTCCTGTTCAACGGTTTCTCTTCTCCGCCGACCAACAGCAAAGGAGTGTATCTGAAGTCACCGGTCATGGCCATGTCCGTCTCGTATGCGGCAAGAGACATTCTTGGCTGGCCTTGGCTAGTGTTGTGTTGGTATAGTAGATATATAAAGATGATCTGTATCTAAATTACTCGCGCTATCCTAGGGTCAGTATTTCGGAAGGGAGTCAACATGGTTGTAGTAGGAAAGCAACGAGACGAAGATGTGTCAGAGCCCATCCTGGCCAACCTGCTGGCCGAGGATCGGACCTCTTGGTACAAGAAACCCAACCTGAGACGATTGTACTTGATCCTCTTCCCTGCGTGCATGGGCATTGAGATCACCTCGGGATTTGACTCACAGATTATCAACACAGTGCAGATCGTGTATACCTGGAATAAATGTTGGTGTATTTCCTGCATAGACAACTCACTTGCTGACTAGATGTATAGACTTCGGGAGATTAACCGGTGATATCGTGGATGGTAGGCCCGAGTACCAGATTGAACCGAACCTCAAGGGCTTTCTAGGAGCGGCATATTCTCTTGGAGCTATTCTTGCTCTGCCACTTGTCCCTTGGATTAACCAACGCCTTGGAAGAAGATGGACGATCATGTTTGGGTCTTGTATCAGTTTGGTGGGTGCAATACTACAAGGGTTCGCTAATGGAGGTATCTGCCTATCCTTTACCCGTTGAATACACTGCTTGCTGATTTGAATAGTCGGAATGTATGTAGTAGCGCGCATGTTACTTGGGTTTGGGATCCCATTTTGCATTGTGGCTGGGTCTTCGCTCATCGGAGAACTCGGCTATCCCAAGGAACGACCAATCCTCACGTCCTTGTTTAATTCATCCTACTTCATCGGCCAAATTGTCGCTGCTGCGGTTGGCCTGGGCACAGTGACTATCGCAAGCAACTGGGCGTGGAGAATCCCTTCACTCTTACAGATAGCTCCTGCTATGGTTCAAGTGGTCTTTGTGTTGTATGTGCATAACCGCACCGAACATCATACTGCCAACATCATGCTGACGAATATAGCTTTCTGCCAGAGAGCCCTCGATATTTGATCAGCAAAGACCGACGGGAAGAAGCATTCGACGTACTAGTCAAGTACCATGCCGAGGGAGACCGTAACTCCGTCATCGTGCGCGCAGAGATCGCCCAAATTGAACGGACTATCAAGATGGAGCTCGAAGCGGCGAAACAAACCTGGTGGGACATGTTCCGCACCGCAGGGATGCGGCGTCGGATGTTTATATCCGCGTTTTTGGGATTGTTTACCCAGTGGTCTGGAAATACATTGATCTCGTATGTCTGAGCCCCTGTGCTGTATCACTCAGCGCTAATGATGCGTAGGTACTATCTCAGTGACTTGCTGGATATGGTTGGCATCACCGACAGCGTGACCAAGTCCAAGATCAACATCGGTATTGCCTGCTGGGGATTGGTTTGTGGAACAACCCTAGCTCTCACGGCACCTCGGTTCAAACGGCGGACGATGTATTTAACCTGTGCAATATCGCTGCTTTGCGTATACATTGGCTGGACGATTTCAATGGAGCGGTTCATGTCAACAGAGGTTAAGGCCGCGGCAATCTTGACCATCTTCTTCATATTTGCCTATTCCCCAGCATACAACCTGGGCTACAATGCTTTGACTTACAGTATGTTCCTATCTTTATTCTGCTGACTATATGCTAACGATGTAGCTTACCTGATTGAAATTTTCCCTTATCTCGGTCGCTCTCGTGGCCTCTCCTGGTTCCAGTTTTATGGCCGTGGGGCAACCTTCTTCGCCACATATGTTAATCCTGTCGGGCTGGATAGAATCCAGTGGCGATGGCTTTTGGTTTACTGCTGTTGGTTGGCCTTCGAAGTGGTGTTTATCTACCTTTTCTTCCCAGAAACATCTGGAAGGACATTGGAAGAGTTGTCGTTTAGTATGTTCCCCTTCCCCCCTTTCCCCCCAGTAGTCTAGACTTGGGCTTACCAAAATTGATAGTTTTCGAGGGAAAAGAAAAGGCAAATGAGGTGGCTGCTGCGGTGCACAAGCAGATCGAGGGGGATGAGAAGAAAGAAGGCCAGGCTTAGCTGGTTTCCTACATTGACGGCAGATGATATTGTCTCTGCAGTGTAGTGCGACCTGATATAGTGTTCCATATCCACAAGGTTTAGTTGCTGCGTTAAACTTCCTGGAACATTTCCTTTCCTTTCCTCCGCTGCCTTTTTCTCTCTGCGCTGCTTCTGCCCGTAAATTTAGGTAAGGGGTGTGCCTTTTGAATGCAGATGTTCTTGAGAATGCTAAGTCACCAATTTATCGGGAGTGAGTGTTCCATTAAGATGACCGTAATTATACGTAAAAACGTGTCTTCTACGTCCTGGTCTTCATTCGACCCTGTGGGACTCCAATAAGACGTTCTCTGTCAATGGCACCGGAACTAACGGAAATTACCGCAAATACGAGACCCATAACTGTCCCAATTTGGAATCGCGCTCTGAAGTGGCTTGGGGCCCCATAAAAATTCTGGTTTAGTGTATTTTGGCAATGGAAACATATAACAGTGCCCCGTGCCTCTGATTCTCAGGGAACCTGGTGTGAGTGAAGCATGATCGTTAATCTCTGGATCCTCGTGCTAGGATTAGGGCTATTTCTGGCGGCGGATGCGCGACGCCCCCAACCGATCGGAATTGATCTGGGCCCTGAGTTACTGTCTGTGTGCCAATCTGGTGGATTGCTGATCTTAAAATAATACTCTTGGCTAACCAATGCCTAGTACAGCTGCGTACGCCCACACGTCCGATAATGTCTCGGTGATCGCTGCGCTCACGCCGGGGCCAGATGACATCTATGTTCGCCATATGTTGCTCCTCCGATTGGAGTACGCAGACCGGCATGATATTATGCGTCCATGGCGTAAATCCGCACAGTGGACTCTGAAAGGATATCTGTCCAATCTCAGCCAACAGCTGATAGCTGAGTTGAGCGCGTTTGGTGACAAACCAGCGCTGCAGAATTCACAGATACTGTCATTTGCTCGCACTGCATTTCGTACTGTACTCCAGGCAGTCTCGTACACTCGGAGGCTGGTCAATCCTGGGTATAATGAGGAAATACGATTAGTCGATGTCCAAGCAGGGTTTGTTGACATGCTACGACAGCTGAAGCAGAAGGCTGCTGCTGACAATGACATCGATCTGGACTATGCTATCATCGCAGTGCCTGAATTTTTCAATCAGACCCTCCGAGAGATGGTGGCGGACGCAAGTAGGGAGGCAGGCATCAAGTCAGCTCTCACGCCTGTTTCTAGAACGACTGCAGCAACCTTTGTCTCTACATCCACTATAGTGAACCCCTCTGGCCTCAACTACGCAGTCATAGATCATGGAATGTTTTATCTAGACGTTAGTGCTGGGCACGGGCGGGAGCGCATTCATCAGTATTTCCCTGCGTTGCAATTTGGTAGCACAATGATCGACAAGCATCTTACGGACCGACTCGTGAGTCGCGTGGAGGAACTCAATATGGAGATCGCAATTGGAGCGTCTCAAACTGCGCTCTATGGTCCTGTGAGACAGGCCCGAACTTTGATCCGTGATGACCTGGATTCCCATCTCCTCGGGTCTAAAAACGACCCGGATCGTCACTTTGATGAGTATCCTCTTGACCTGACAAACTGGGGTTCTGGACAATCTCAGGCTGTTCTATCATGGGAAGACGTACACGCTGCCGAAAGACGATTCATTGGGGTAGTCGCTTCTAATCTGATCATATACCTGGCTGCTTTGAGACGTGAGCTTTTTCCCAATACGACCGCCCTTACAATATGACGCATAATAGCTAACAGAGGCTAGTCCGCCGCTTACCTGATGCTCCGAGGGACCAAATCATACCTGAAAATGTCGACCGAGTTGTGATTCTAACTACCGGCCCTGATGGTCCTCTATTGGAGCAAGCAGTGCGTGAGAGCCTTGGAGAGCACATTGAAATTATCGGAGGTACACTGCGGGAATCCTTTTCACCGGCCGCGTCTGGAGCTGCCCGTGCTGCTCTAGTCGCTATGTCTCCTGGGATGTGTCGTAAGAGATCTGAACGTAGTGTATTTGATCATGAGCTTTAGAACTGTAACAATGAAGTTATAACACCACTGTTCACCGCGTTCCTTTGATAGCCTCTAGCAAGAAAACACATAATATCGTATGGGTAGGGGACTCTTTAGGTGCCCGATGTTGCAGTGCGGTCGGAGAACTCGAGGTTGTATAGGTTATGGCGACCTTGACACTGGTTAATAAGAAGCGTGGCGCGTTTCATCTACATAGGGATGCTCTCTAGGGCTAGTAAAACACTTGTACGATGCCATCAAGTATAAGAGTGGAGTGATAATTTCACGCAAAAAGATGTACTGTACAGAGTAATGGCCTCTTTCATTTGGAGCCAATCTTCAACCACCTATTCCATTTACGATCCTTTCCCAAAGCGACCGTGTGCAAATCCTGCTCCTCTCATGTTGTTGCAACATTCGGAATGGTTCTGTAGCTCTCAACCTACTCTTCCTTGAGGCCTGTCCTCGTTTCTGTATGCTCCTCACTTAGGGGTTGATTCACAATGAACGCGCTCGCAAGTACAGCAACACCAGCCATGCAGGTGTACATGATCCACATATTTTGTAAACTGGAGGAGAACGCACTTGCGACGGTTCGAATCTTGGAGGGATCATTGAGGGTCTTAATTACCTCTGTGCTGGCAGCGGCGGAAGCACCAGTCAGCTCTTCGACGATCTCATCTATCAGTCCTGCTGATTTTAACCTGCTTCGTTCTCCTGCCATGCTGTTTTGAAAGACCACCCCGCCAACGACAATTGAGACTGACATGGCGATAGTACGGATGAAGCCCAACATTGCCGTGGCACTGGCTGTGTCATCTTGGGCGACCATTGCCTGCAAGGCGATCAGTGGAGGCGCGAATAAGATCGCCGATCCTGCTCCGCCAATGACCTGGAAGATAATTAATTCCACCAGAGGGGAGGTTGGATTGAGCCGAATGAATAGACCGGTCCCGAGCGTGAGAAGGACAGTCCCTATCCAAATTTGCTCTGCATATCTGCCTGTCCGATGAATTAACCAGCCAGATATCCCACTGAAGAGCCCTTCGGCCACAACCAGAGGAAGAACCATCAGCCCTGAGCGCATCGGACTTGCTTGCTTGGCTGACTGGAAGTACAGTGGCAGCCAATACTCACAAGCAATAAATACCTAGGCCTGTCAGATTTGTTGTTTCCATCCCCAAGGCGTTGGTCCATCCGCAACTCACCGCACCATGGAATAAAGTCACCAGCGAGACAGCAATGTTCGATCGATGTTTCAGGATCTTGAGTGGCATCAGAGGGTATTTGGCAACATACTTCTCTCCGCAAAAGAATATAATTGAGAACAGCGATCCGAACACAATAAGGCAAATCACCTGGGGCGAGTTCCAGGCAAAGGTTTCCCCTCCAAAATTCAGACCCAGAAGCACCATGAGGGTGAAACCTATTATTGACAGACTCCCAAGCCAATCAATTGCTTTCAGCCCGTCGGTTACCTTGGTTTTTGGGTTGTGAACATCCAGGTAGAAGAAGAGCAATATGAATGCCAGTCCGCAAATGGGGAGGTTTATCCAAAAATTCCATCGCCAAGAGACGTATTCCGAAAAGACACCACCGAGGATTGGCCCGAGGCCACCGGATATAGTCCACATGAATTCGAGGATGCCCATATACAGGCTTCGGGACCTAAAAGCCTGTTAGTGGAGGTCCACTTTTATGAAGATATACCACGGCAACAAGGTGTTGATGCTGACCGGACGCTGAACAAATCGGACACAACAATCATGACCAGTTGCAAGAGACCACCACCTGCTATACCCTGTAGAGCTCGACCGGCAATTAACATCTTCATGTTCACTGCCGCAGCGCACACAATAGAGCTAAGCAAGAACCATAGAACAGCAACAAGAAGGAGGGGCTTTCGACCCCAGATATCGGATAGCTTTGCCCAGATGGGAGCCGCGGCCGCGCTGGCCAGGAGGTATGCTCCTCCAACCCATGTATAGCCACTTGCCGAATGGAGGCGCGAGGCAATTGTCGGTAGAGAGGTAGAAACAATTGTTTGGTCTAAGGCGGCGATGAAGAGGGACAACTACAAAGCTGGAATATCAGTGACTCGTTCCGTTCTGCCCGACAGTATATCGCGCAACAACTTACGCAGAGAGCCACCATGATGGCAAACACCTGAATCTTTCCACGCTTGATTTCAGGCTCTTCTAAGCTTCCCACATCTCGTTGAGCAGCTGTGTTGTTATCGGAGACCTGTGCAGGGCTTCCCATCGTCGTAATATCAGCGGAGCGCTGCCTGGTCGCTGAGAGCTCAATTCCACTGTCGGCCATCGTGTGCGGATCTGCAGCATTGACGTTCCACTGGCAGATTGTATCGAAGTAAAGCAGGTCATATGTAGATCCAAGTGGAAGAAATACTTCGGAGTAGGGCTGTTCGCTTTCTCGGAGATAATGGAGGTCAATACGAGGGACCCATCGGGGTTACCAAACGCGACCTTGCCTCGGCGGATGACAGATTCCGACGGGTCCAGACCTTTGTATGCATAATCAACCGACATAGCTCTCTTCTCATTCTTCATTCCTTTACCAAGCTTTGCCCTTCTCGCCCTTCGTGGCTAGGATGGTTGCAGTACTATACGTAGATAGAGGCGTGCACGTCGCTCGTGCCAAAACAGTAGCAAGTGCCCCTAGGATTTGCCATTCTCGACCTTAGCCGGTTCAGGAGCACATTTTCTTCTATCTTGCTGATTATCATAACTCGATGTCGTCTGAAGGGGTGTAGCACCCAAAGCTAGGCATTGTCCTTTTGCTTTCTCGTACTCAGAGAGCTCATCCTGGCGTCTTACCTGAGGGTTCGAGATACTGGTATTGTGAATATAGATCTTCGACCCCTGGGAAGGGGCATTGCATTGAAAGCATGGTGTACAGTGGCAAGGTATCAACGGCATTTATAGCTTAAAGTCTGAGGTTCACCGCGATTCTCTTTAGAACAATTCCCTA